CATGTCACATCTAATAGCTTGGGCAAGAGAGGGTGGGAACTTTCCATAAAGTAGACCTGAGACAATTGGATCTACACCAAGTGTAGTGGAGAGCAGCCTCTCATGTGAGATGTGAATTTCTCATATGATTAAAATCAATGTGGCAAGAGAAAAAAGAAGCCTGTTTGTTTATAATCTGCACAAAACCACCTCTGATGTAGAAATGCTTATGGTCACTTGCCTCTGAAAGCAAATATAATGATATGAATTCTTTAAGGTGCAGAATTAGAAGAGCCACTCCCTGCTTCAGACTAGGCACAGAAATCATTCACTGGTGGCACTGGTTGTCATCTGTCCTGTTTTTGATGAAAGGTTAAATGTCTGCACCTCCAGAATCATGGCTCACTAAAATGGACTGGAATTGGCCACAAAGTGGAATCCAGATGATCAAGGGAAAATTAGCTCCATAACCACAGCAGAAATGTGAAACAAATGTGGAGTCCCCAGTAGACTTTGCAGTCAGCCCTTCTTGCCAACTAGTCTGGGATCTTATTAAGAATTTAATTATGTGAAAATAAAACTGCTATTTTTCAATTACTGACAGAGAGAGTTTCTATTCTGCCACCCTACTGACTGTGTCACCAGACAGCTCAACTCAGGGGAAGTATTTCATTTAAAATCCAGTCCCTGCAATGATCTGTTTAACCCTGTCCTTCCACCTTGTTTAGGAGTTGTTTAATAAATAAGTGCTTCTCAATGAAATATTAATATCCAGCTTATCCCTTCTGTAATATTCACTCACAGTCTCCCCATCTCCTGAAATTTTTCTCTGTAGCAAAGACTCCAGCAATGAGGAAGAAACTTCTCTTCCTTCCTACAGACCTAACAAAAATTGGCCTCTGTCAGTTATGGGGTGCTGGAACAAAATCTAGTATCATGAGGCTAATTATATGCAAAGGTCTCTAATTTAACTCATACTATAGTTAGGTGGGTATATAGGGAATTGTTTTCTAGGGAAAGTAGTATACTGTCAGTCAACAAAATATCCTTCTTAAAAGTTTCCATCCCTATTCAAATCCTGACCCCTACACACACACACACACACACACACACACACACACACACCCCTCACCTCCTCCCACACATGCCCAATGATCTTTAGTGATTCTTTTTTTCATAGGAGTTTCCTGGTTTGGATAAACTGAGTCCAGCGTGTTCTGGCACTAACACCACCCGAGGGACTGTTTTGGTGTCCCATAGTCCAATGAGCCCAGAAACCATCAAGATGGTGCATCGTCACAGGTATGGGATCTGCACTGAGAGAACACCTCTAAGTGCCTGAAGGATTGACTTCTAGGACTCAAAGTGGGGGCGCTCTTCAGAGTCTCTGACTCAGGAATGTCCTTGACCTATACAAGATTCTAAATAGCAGCTGCCAGGGGTAGCTTTGGGCTCCAGAGCTAATGAATATGATCAGCAAACCAGAGGCCACCTCATTGGAATAAATAGGAACATCAGGATAAAGTCTCAATGTGGCTGGACTCCCTAGCACTAGCAGGTGCCTCACCACAGTAAAGGGCTCCAAGCTGTTTTGGAGGTTGCTAAAGGATTAGGGATGGCCATTAAAGGAGCTGTATCAGTAGGGCCTAAGCCATAAGGAAAAAGCTTGGATAGGCTAGGGATTTTCAAAGGCAAATTGTTGGATACCTTGTGCCCACCCATGTTGTGGGAGACCCGAACATAGTTCACACCCAAAAGACCTAATATGTTCTCATTTTTCAGTTTCTTGACCACAGCAAGAAATTTTCCCTGACTTATGAGAGATGAAAGGCTGCCATCTGCCATATTTGGCAAATGAGGTGTGGCCCTCCCTGTCTAGTGGCTAAATGTGAGCATTAACCCTGGCTTACAGCCATAGAGCAAGATTATTAGATTTTTTTCAGCAGGTGACTATTCTTCATCTCCATGAAATGAAGGTGCTGTTGGCATAAAGTTTGGGGAACAGGGCAAAGACTTGTGCTTACTTGATACTGTGAGCTTTCTCTGTCAGAAATGCTTTACATATTAAGGTTACATTAGCTGTCAGTCTCCTATTTACCATTTAGTTGCATTTGATTAGAGACCTCTACCATAGAGATGACTAACTGATGAGGTAATGATTTACATTTCACCCTAAAAATATGTGAAGTAAGGGGCAGCTAGGTGACTCAATGGATAGAGCACTAGCCCTGGAGTCAGGAGGACCTGAGTTCAAATTTGGCCTCAGACACTTGATACTTACTAGCTGTGTGACCCTGGGCAAGTCACTTAACCCCGATTGCCTTGCAAAAAATAAGAGTATTGCATACCGAATCAAAGACTAAAGTTGTTTGGGGCAGCGAGGTGGCTTAGTGGATAGAGCATCAGCTCTGGAGTCAGGAGGACTGGAGTTGAAATCCGGCCTCAGACACTTGATACTTAACTAGCTGTGAGACCCTAGGCAAGTCACTCCCTTCCACATGTAGTTTTAAACCTGAAGTCAATGAATTGAAAAGTATATACCATAACTCTTTTCCATTTCCTCCTCTTACTTGTAGCCCAATGAACTTGATGGGATCAGGCCGTCATTCATCATCATCTCTCTCCTCTCATGCATCCAGTGAAACGGGGAACATGGTGATCCTGCCTGATGGCTCGATGGGAGAGGTCCCTGAGGACATGTACCATCACATGCAGGTAGCACAGCAGTGAAGCCATGAGAAATTTAGATTGTACAGGACACACCATATTCACTTGAGAGCCTTCATTCTGTTCTGCATCCCTCTGTCTTCAGTAATGATCCCATACAAAAGCATCCATTCTTCAGCTTTCTAGTCCCCAAATTACTGACCAAAGAGAAAGTATACAGGCTTCCTTGCCTACAACAACCATACGTCCATTCCCCAGGCCTTATTCCCTAAGAAGCATACTGGCTGTGACTTCTGGCCAGCTCTAATCCTGGTTGCAGTCACACTTACCTGACAACAAACGTTCTCTGGCAGATCTTCTTCGGTGATGGCATCCTTACAGACTTTGTTGCTTTTGCATGTACCATGAGTATCATAGGTAGAAAAAGGACTCTCACTGGCCCTGGAGTCAGGAGGACCTGAGTTCAAATTCAGTCTCAGACCAGACACTTGATACGTAATAGCTGTGTGATCCTGGGCAAGTCACTTCACCTCAATTGCCTCATATAAAAAAAAAGGAAAAGAAAAGAAAAAGAACTCTCCTGAATGGGCTGAGTGAGTTCCTCTCTTTGTGGGTATGTGCTGTACAGGTTGGACTTCTCTTATGTAGTTATACTCTTCTTCCATACTGGCCCAGCTGTGGTAGAGTGAGCCTGGAGGTCCCTCTCCAGGATGGAGGAGGATGAATACAGTGTTGAGTAGAATATTATAACCTAGTGGAAAGTTCCCATTTCTCAGTTTTCTTTCTTGTGGCTTTCTCTCTCTCCTACAGCTCACTTATCCCAACACCAGGTACCAGGGCTCAATCACCAATGTCTCTGTTTTATCCTCATCCCAAGCCAGCCCTTCTTCCTCCAGCCTGAGCTCTACCCACTCAGCCCCATCCCAGATGATGAATTCTGCGCCACCCAGTGCCCGAGGTAAGTGAATGAGGAGAGGAACCAGGGAAGCAGCATTCTTCAAGCCTCCTGATTCCTATGGCTGTGCTATTAGGATAAGCCTGGGATTTGAATTCTATTCATTTTTACTTTCAGAGATAAATTTGTTTTTAAGCAGTAAAGGTGTCTGGGATCCTATCTCAAACCCAATGGAGCCTCATTCCATCAGCATAAAAGGAAAGCACTTTTCCAGCTAGGAACATGGCATGTCCAATTCTGAGATTCTGTGGTTTTGTATGATAAGCAGGCTTCAGACCCTGCTCTGAACTTCTGTGATTGACACAGAGCCACATAAGCTAGCCAGACATTTGCATTAGAGACAGTGTAAGAGAAGAAATTCCAGCACTCCTCTAACCTAGTCTAATGACAAACTCAAATGTCTGCCTATTTAAATGGTGTCATGGAAATAGCACTGGACTTAAATTCAAGAGACAAATTCAAAATTCCAGCTCTGCCACTTTTTAGCTGTGTGACCTTGGATAAACCACTTCACATCTCTGGACCTTGGTTTCCTCATCTGTAAAATAAGGGGAAAGAGATTAAACGATCCCAACTGGCTCTCCCAGCTTTAATATTCTATGTTTACAAGAAAGATCAGAATTAAAACCAAGTGAGATATTTGTCTTGAAAGGATGAAGTTTTGGAAGCAAAATTAAGGCTAAAACCAAATATAGAAAATGTTACCCAGTGCTAAGGACTTTCTTGAAATCAGAATACCTTATCTCTGAGGGACAACTAGATAAAAAACTGTTTGCTTGGCTAAATACAACTCAATTTTTCATTTAATTGAATAAATATTCTGTCTGAGGATCAGCTCTCCTTCACATTCTGATGCTAGATCCCATAGGTAAATTTAATTCCCTGACCTTTTTATGAAAACATCTGCAAAGAAATGGAAATTAGTCAGAGTAAGCAAGATATATCCCTGAGGGGGTCAGCAGACCAGGCAATAGAAATGCAGTGAGCAATGTGATTTGACCTGCAGATCAACAAAAATTGCTTTCAAACTAAAGAGAGAATTATTCTTCTCCATTCAAAATTATTATGAAAAATAGCAGCAGTAACAGTAAACAGTAACAGTAGCTGTGGTAAGTTTTGACACCAGTATACCTGACCTTAAGAATTCCATTTAAATTCAACAAATACTTATTAAGCACTGAGTATATACAAAGCATTGTTCTAAGACCTGTAAATACAAAGAGAAAACAGTCCCTACCCACAAAAGGCTTACATTCTACTGGAGAGATACAATGTATGCAACATATACATAAGTAAAGATATACAAAGTAATTTCAAGGGGAATAAATTGTTAATAACTGGGATGATCAGGCAAGACCTTATGTAAGACATGGTATCTGAGCTATGCTTTGAAGGAAGCTAGAGGGTCTGTTAGGTGGATGTTAGAAGATAATACATCCTACACATAGGAAATCATTCATGCAAAAGCATAGAGATGAGAGATCAAATGTTGTGAATATCAACGTTGTATATGGCAAGCAGCCATAGAAGGCTAGTTTGACTGGAACAGAGTATGTGAAGTGGAGTAATATGAAATATGACTAGAATGGGAATTGGGATTAGATTATAAGGGTCTCGAAACAGAAGGCTGAGGAATTTCTATTTTGCCCTAAAAGAAATAGGAATCCATTGAAGATTTTTTTTAATGGTCATATCTGTTTTGGGAATATCAGTTTTCCAGTTGTTAGTCAACTAGCATTTATTAAGTGCCTACTACTTGCCAAGCAGCTGTGAAAGATATATTGGAGAGAGGAGAGAATGGAATCAGAGAAACCTATTGCAACATCCTAGGTGAGAAGTGATGAGAGGTTAAAGTAGAGTCAGAGGCTAAGATGTGAGTGGAAGTAAAGGGGCAGATGAGAAAATGGTTATATAGACAGGATTGATAAGATCTAGCAACTGATTGGGTATAAAGATTGACAGAAAGGTGAAAGTCAAGACATTTGGAAGAGTGATGGATTTGGGAGAGAACGGGCTTTGTTTAGGCATATGGAGCTTGACATACCTACAGAACGTACAGGTCAAACTGTCCAGAAGGTAGTTGATAATATCAGGTCTAAGTTCAGGAGCAGTCAGGGCTAAATATTTAAATGTGAGAATTAGATGCATAGAGATCGTTGAAGCCATGGGAGTTGATAAAATCACCAAGGAGAAGAGTGTAGAGAGAGAAGAGAAGAAGACACAGGCTAGATCCTTGTGGGATGTCCAGGAGAGGCTGATAATTAGCAAAGGAGACTGCGAAGGATGATTCAGACAGCTAGGAGGAAAACTCTAGGTCCTAGAGACGTGTAGCCAAGGGAAGAAAGAGTCTGTAGAAGAATGAGGTTGTCAACAATGTCCAAAGGTTCAAAGAGGTCTAATATATAGAAAAGGCTGTTCAATTTAGCAGGTAAGAGATCATTGGTAACCTTGGAAGAGTAGTTTCTGTCAAGTGGTAAAGTCAGAAACCAGATTCCAAGGGATGAAGAAATGAGCATGAGTTGATAAAATGGAGGCATGGGTTGTAGACAATCCTTTCTATGAGTTTGACTGTGAAAGGGAGGAGAGATAAAGGATGAGCTAGCTATTGGAGGATCAAAAGGGCAGGACAAGATCACAAGCAGCCATCCAGCTTAGCTGAAACATTGAGGTCACAGAGTGGAATATCAATGAAATGATATTATTAAGTCAGGTTTGAGCCACGTTGTGAAGGGCCTTGGCTGTCAGGCTAAAGAATTAAAGGTATTTAAACAGAGGAACAACAGGGCATAATTGGACATAATGTAGATTTCTCTGGCAGCTCTATAAAAGATGTTTAGGAAAGGTGGAAAACTGTAGGGAGAACAACTAGTTAGGAAGCTTTTGTTATTGTACAGGTGATGGGATGATGAGGAGCTGAAGAGGAGCTGTGCTAATAGACATGGAGAGGAAGGGACAGATGGCCAAGATATTGTAGAGGTAGGATAGACAAGACTTCACAGTTGTTAGATGTGGGAGGTGAGAGACCGTAAAGAATCAAAAAGGATTTCAAGGTTTCCAGTCAATCAGCAAGCATTTATTAAGCACCTATTATGTGCTGAGCACTGTATAGACCCTGACAAAAAAAGAAGCCATGTTCTAGGAAGGGATAAAACATATACATATATAGGTAGACCAAGATAATTTTGAAGAGAAAACTGGAAGACCAGGAAGGCCTTCATGTAGAAGGTTGCAGTTGGGCTGAGCCTTGATGGAAGATAGGTAGATATGCCACAAAGCAGAGGTGAGGAGAAAGTTCATTCCAGAGATGGGGAACAGCCAGTGTAACTACAGAGAGGGGAAATGGAATGTTGTGAGAAGAACAGAAAGAATGTCATTTTGGCTGAACGACAGTGTACATGTCAGGGAGTAATGTGTAAGGCTAAGAGGTTGGAAAGTACCGCAGGGGGTTATATTTGATCCTACGGGTAAGAGGGAGCCACTGGATCTTCCTGAGTAGGGAAGTCAGGTGAACAGACATGCACCAGGAAAAATCACTTTAGTAGTTGTCTGTAAGATGGATTGAAGTTCAGAGAAATTTCAGGCAAAGAGACCAATTATGAGGCTCTTTCGGTAATCTGGGTGAGAGGTGATGAGGGCCTGAACTTGGATAATGGCCATATGAGAGGAAAGAAGGGGAAAGTTACAAAAAGTATTAGGGAGGTAAAAACGAGATCTGGCCACTGACTGGATGCATGGGTTAGGCTAGGACTGAAGGATGACAGTGGAGTTGTGATTCTCAGGGACTGGAAGGATGGGAGTGCCCTTGGCTGGAACAGGGAAGTTTGGAAGAGGGGTAAGTTTAGAGGGAAAGGATAATGTGTTCTGTTTTAGACACAATGAACTGGAACTGCCTATGGGACATATGACTTGAATTGTCTAATAAAGAGGCAGGTTATGATGTGGGAATTAAGTTCAGGAAAGAAACTGGGGCTAAAGAGAGAGATCTGAGGGTCACTATTGAGATCATAATTGAGCCCATGGTATCTGATGAGTGTGCCAAGAGAGAAGGTGGAGAGAAAAGAGAAGAGAGCCCAAGACAGTTAAGGGGAAGGATATGGAATCGAGGCAAAGAAAGGAGCCACCTCTTCACTGAAGACCAGGGTGAAATAGAAGAGAATGGAGGATAATATCAACAGAGTGTGAGATGGAGCTCCCAGCAAATGGCCTCTACTTTTTCAATACAGTACAAAGTGAAGTCCTTAGCTGTGAGGGTGGGGGAAGGGTCACATAATAGGAAGCTTGAGGAGACAAAGAAAAGGTTTAGAACAACCACTGTCAGGACTCCAGCCTGGGTAAATGGAAGAGTACTGAGGCATCAGCTGTTGCCTCAAGCTAAGAATTAAATGAAATGTCTTCCAGTGTCCCTTTTCATTCTGAGATTCTCTGATTCTCAAATGGAGAAGTTAGGAGGGGCAGCTTTTAGAGGGAAGATGATGATGCTACTACGGAACATGTGAAGAAACTCAAATCCATCTCACAGCCTTCACTGCCCTCACAGAACTGCTTCTCTTCCCTGATTCCAGGCCTGGTGCCAGAAGCAAGGGAGGCAGGAGCACCATGGCTGTCATTGACAGGGTTGGGGAATAAAGCTCTGTAAGTCAGAGGTCCAGACTGGGGAGGAGGGAGGATGAAACGGGAACAATCCATCACCATGTTAGGAAATCACAGATGACAAAATACCAGGGAGAACTTGAGAAATTCATGGAAATATAGATTTCTTTTTTTAAGTTTCAAGAAGGCTAATTAGTCACAGCAGATCCAATTCCATAGCTTTAGCATGATGTATTGGAAAGAGTTCTGGCCTGAGAATCAAAGAACCTGGGCTCCAATTTGAGCTCTGGTACATTTACCACCTGTGGGACTGTGGGAAAGTTGTTTCATTTCTCTGGGTCTCAGTTTCCTCTTCTGTAAAGTGAGACTGAGCTAGGTGGCTTCTAGGATCCCTTTCATTCCTGAATCTGTTGTCCTATAATCCCGATAAATGTTTGTTGAATTTAATTTAATCCTATGATCCATAGCCCTATGGAAACTGTAGACACAGAGAAGGGAGCATGTTGAGTATTAAAGAGAAATATGGTGAAACAAAAAGTGAATTTTCAATTGAAAAGAAGAAAAACTTGATAAATCATCTGCTGAGCAAAAAGTTGAATTCAGCACTTGCAGCATATTAAACTCCCTTAGACAGAGATCAAATAACAGATTTTCATCAATAGTTCTGCAGATCCCTAAGAAGAGGATGATCTATCTACCCAAAGTGTGCTCAGCCTTTCCAAATCTAACTGCAGTCCTCCAATGTGAAAGAAATGCACTGGACTCTATCAGAAAGGTCTGTAAGAAAAAGAAGACAGGCAAAGGAAAGACATCTTTAAACTAAATTCAATTCTGATAGGTGTTGAGTGCATACTGTTCTGGGGACTGAGGAAATACAGAAATGGATAAAGCATAGGCTATACTCTTGCAAAGCTCACAGTCTAATTGTTTTTATTGTGATTTTTTTAACAATAATCAAAACTGAGGAACTCGTATCTCCTTAATCTGGAAGGACTCACTGTTATTCCAACCTAAGTGGCTTTTGTGACTGTCAGATTATGAAAGTAAATTGGAATAGTACCCAGATAATAATAACTCCTATTTCTAGAGAGCTTTATGGCTTACTTTCCTCATAATAGACCTCTAAGGTAGGCAGTACATGCTCTTATCTCCATTTCACAGACAAAAAACCTAGGGTTCAGAGAGATGACTTAATCTACAAGCAATTATTAAGCACCTTCTATGTTCCAGGAACAGTGCTAGGTATTGAAGATACAAAGACAAAACCCAAGCATTCTCTGCCCACAAGAATCTTACCTTCTATATGGGGAGAGAAGGCATATACACATATAAGCACATACAAAATAAAGATGAAGTAGCAAGCGTGGGAAGGAGGAGGTACAAACAGCTGGCAGGATCAGGAAGAGCCCTATATAGAAGGTGGTATTAGAACTGAGCTGTGAAGGAAACAAGGGATTTGAGGTGAAGAGGGAGTGCATGCCTCCCTCCGGGAGGGGAGCTGAAATCTGCAACAGCTCTTGCTTAGCCAAGATCCCACATCTAGTAAGCTTAATAGCCAGGATTTTCCCCCTGGGTTCCAATCCATTGGTCTTTTGACTGTACTGTACTGCCATCCACTGAGTCTAAAGGACAAAAGATCCCTGGACTGGCTTCATTTGTTAGAACTGGTACCATGCAAAGTCTCAGAAACAAGGATGAGTCCTTCATACCCTCATTGGATACCAATATTGTACCTGGTTCTAGGAAGAGGACCTTTTTAAATTAATGAGCACATTTTCCTCCTGCCCTTTTAAACACCTCACTTGGCACCATTAACCATTTTTCTCATGCATGAGAGACTGAGCTGCTTGGTTAAGTGGGGACTATCACCAGTGGCACCAAATTCTTCTCGCTCAGAGTTATTAAAACAGTCTTATACAGTCGACAGTCATCGGTTAGGATGAGCTTCTAGGAAACATTAACAGTTTTTGTGTCATCATGGGCTTTCTGGAGGCTAGGCAATGGACAAATCCAGTCAGAGGCTAAGGTCATTTTCGAGGCTAGGCACCTGCGAAGAGAGAACATAGCCACTAGGATCTCTGAAGATGAGTGACTGATGATGGAAAAAAATGAGCAAGAGCTAGTCTCTTTGAATGACACAAAAAGAGGCTTAGAACAAAAGAAATCTGATCAAACGTCTTCATGGTCAAGAGAGAAGTAGCAAAGGAATTACTGGTTTTAACAAGGTAAAAATGAGAAGAATCCTCAAATTGGGGAGTCACGTGCAAGCCCCCTGGGATGTCAAGTATCTTCAGTAAACACCTCTCCATAATACATCATACACACAGGGAGGACATGGGATATCTAACCATTCCCTTTCTGTGGTCATCTGTGCCCAGAATCACCAACTAATCCCACCAAGGTGGTTTCTTACTGCTTTAGAAACCAAAGGAATGAGAAGCTTTTTAAGCAAAACTTAAGTCAATAGCTCCCTCTGGTGGATAAACCTTATGAAGACCAACTCCCAAGCTCAAAATAGATTTTAGTTTACCTTCCCTTGATTTTTATCTAGGTGAAAAGTCCAGCTAAACAAAATCTTCATTGGTGCAAAGAATCAAATGAACTGCAATTCTAGTTTTAATTAAGCCTCTATCTGGCATAAGACTGTTTCTGGAAACTTACCATTACCCTCTTTCTGTAAACCACTCATTAGAGAAAACTTGTAATCAGCATGACCTTGGAAGAGTGGAAATGAAGGGGTAAACAGAAGGTGCTCAGGGTTCTGAAGGAGCAAACGCATTAATTGATGAAAGTACTAAGTTGGGAACACTGATAGAGCCCACAGAGTAACTGTGCCTGGCACACAGTAATCCCTTAGTAAGTGCTTTATCCATCTCTTTAACCTAACTCAGGGCAGAGCACAAGTCCCTTTAGCCCTTACTTTCTCTATCCAGTTGGCTGCTCATCTTCCTTGATCAGAATTCGAAGGCTTCTGTTCAGCCGTCACAAAATTCCTTAGCTGTAATAACATTCACATTGACCATGAGCCTGATTTCATTTCGAGACTTGACCCCAAATTTGCTTTTCCTTCCATATTCCAATTTGTCTACCTATGAAATGGGCAGGGGACCACAGATCTCCAGAAGTAATACTTTGCAAGCACCCTAAGTTTTTCTGGTCAAGAAGACACTGTAGGAATTCTGTGAGCTTTCTAATTTTTCCAGGATTTCTCTGTTCTCAGGAAACAAGTTCTAAATGAAAATAATGGAATAGATAAAATGAAATAGTGTCAATTTTATCCAAATTTTTGAAAATCAGTCTTTAAACATCACCCTATAAGAAAAGGCCAATAGAAAAAAAAGAGCAAAAACAGGTACTGAAGTTCAGATACATAGGGAATTAATTATACAAATAATATTCTCAGTAATATCATTCTTGTTCTACTCTCTTTTTAAAAAGCTACTGTCCTAAAGATTGAACTTTCATGAACAAAAAAAAAACGAAGATGAGAAATTTCTCCAGGATGATTAGAAGAAATTGACTAGGAAGGGTCTAACATAAGCTAAATCCAGTTAACAAACTGTATTCTCAACCAAAGGAGAGCTGGACAGTGAGTCTCAGAGACAGAGAGTCCCCGCAGAAAATACTTTGCCCACAGCAAACCCAGATTCCAGCTAGCAGCTAGATAAAGAACACAAGCTATTCTGTATTGGCCTTAGGGTGCTAAGGGAAAGAAGCAACTCCCCATCTATCTTCATAGGCTAGGGCTGGCATTCAGGTTTACTCAGGGCAAACAGCCAAGCTCAGGTGGAATGGCTTCATTCAGCCAATTCTTATCTTCAGGGAAGCTGGTCCATTCAGTCCCAAGTGACACTTACGGGGGGTTTCTAAGGAGAACTCCAGGTAGCAGGCTTCACAATAATTGCTCTGTGTGGCATTTGAGAGGCCATTCATAGCAGGCTGATCTCAGGAAATCTAATCAGTTGTTTGTAACAGGATTTTTTTTTTTACTCTCTCCCTGGGGAGAATGATTCTCAGGTAGTGCACCTGTGTTTGCCCAAGAAACATAAATCGATGAGAGCTGTGCCTTACTGAGCCCAGCATTCCCAGTCCTCCCTCAATGTTGTCATTTCCATTGAAGGCCAGTGGCTCCAGGGAATTAGTGCTGTGGCTGGGGAGCTTAGCAAGAAGAGCAGAAAAAGTCTTTCCTTCAGAGTTCATGATCGTGAGCCAAGTACACTGTAAAGCACATTTTCAAAGCCCAGAGCCCTCAGATTGGTATCATGATTTCATTGACTTGGAGGCGCTGAAGCAATAAATCAAATTTATAAACGTGCCAGACCCTGCACCAGATACTGCTAATGGACATTATGCTAGAACAGACCTCCCGACATCTTTGCTGGGGGATCCCAGATCACCCAAGTTGTTGAAGCAGGTAGCAGCTCAGGCACACTTGGCTGGGGTCAGAGAACAGAAGGGTTGGGGTATTAATGGAAGACAAGTTCAAGGTTCTCTGAACTAGGTAAGTATGTGGGAAGCGTTGTTTTTAAAGGTTAAAACAACATGTGAATATGTGGTCTAAGTGTCTTTCTATCTCTTTATGTGATTTTCTTGTCCTCTATTGTCTCTGTGAACCCACTCTAACTGTGTCCTTCCCCTGAGCCCCCTGACACAACCCATCAGTGGGAGCAGAACCCCAAGTCTTTGCCTGATACTGCATCAAGGCCAGCAGAGACCTTGATCCTGTGCTCAGTGTTTCTCCTTCTGGTGATGGAGAACTGTCTGGACTTGATCCAAAAAGCCAGTGTTGGGACCCTCATCCCCAGACCTAAATTGTGTATCTGTCCCAGCTGTGGACAGCTGGGCTCACCATACTAGGGCTCTGTTTTCCACCCATATCCACCTGGTACCTGGACTCGATTTCATCCCTCCTGGTGTTTCCTAAGAAGAGCATCCTCCCCTGAGGCCCAGGAGACTTGTCAAGGCCCCTGGAATGCTTGGCTTCCTTGGCGCCCTCCCGTGTGTGGTTTGTCATCTGTGCGTGATTGTTCTCGCTTGGTTACAGGCTCTCCCTCTCTGCCAGATAAGTACCGACACTCTCGGGAGCTGATGATGCTGCTGCCCGCTCACCGGGACCGCCCAAGCAGTGCCATGTATCCAGCGGCAGTCATGGACCATGGACAGGTAGTGGAGTTCCTCGCCTTTCCTCCTGCATTTTGGGGGCATGTGCATGGCTATATGTATGGGGCAGGCAGAGGGGTCCCAGGTAGTTGCCAGGGGTGCCATCATCTTGCATCATCTTCACTCTTACCTAAATAGCAGCCCATCTGTGCCAATGTCTCTTTCCTGTCTTCGTAGAATTAGTTGATATTCTTCTGTAGTCCCCCTGCATGATGTATTTGAGGAGTCCTCAGAAGTTAAGTGTTAAAGCAGCGAGGTAGCACAGTGTATAGAGCACTGGATATGAAGTCAGGAAGACCTGAGTTCAAATCCTGCCTTGACACTTACTCTGTGAGTCTGGAAAGTCATTTAGCCTCCATTTGCCTCAGTTTTCTCATCTGTAAAATGAGGATAATAATAGCCTCTGCCTCCCAGGGTTGTTGTAAGGATCAAATGAGATAATATTTGTAAAGCATTTTGCAACCCTTAAAACACTATGTAAATGCTAGCTTTTACTTCACCATGAGAGCACCAAAGTTCTAGGCAGTTTCCGCCCCTACGTAAGTATTTGTGTGTGGGGGAGGGGGTGTCCTTGCCTTTGCATTTGTCCACTTGTCTAGCTGACCTATTGGACTCTCCTTGTTCTTGAACAGTCAATCTGATTACTCTGGGTGTGTCCCCCGTGGCATGAGAAGGCCCTGGCAGGACTGTGGCCAGTGGGCCTGGAGACGTGTTTCTCCCTGCAGATGCGTGTGTGGGTCACTCTCCCTGGAGCAGCATGCCATCCTGCCTCTTTCTCTGGGTCCCTAACACTCTTCCCTCCCTGGTTGTCACTTCAACCACCTTCCAGTCTCCAAACTGTCCAGCCAGGGGACCTGAACAAGGAGACATTATCAGTCAGTCCCTACTCCAACCCCGTGCCACTCATCTTCACTCTCCAGGAGACCCTGAGCACAGAGCCTGGGCTGCCTGGTAAAAGAGAACCTGTTTGCAAGTACAATTTCCTTCTCCCTCTCCCGTGGCTGGCCCATTACTGTTGAGGTAGTCTGATAATAGAAGTCAGTCATTTTGCCCATCAAAGTAAGATGCCCTATGACCACATAAGCAAGTTTCCTTCCCTGTCCCCATCCAGCCCTATTCCCAACAAGCTGACAGATGGAACCAAGGTAGGTTTAACTTTTATTCAAATCATGAACAGAGGAAATTCGGTTGTCTATACCATGGCAGGAATTGGAGATGCAGGTAAATCAAAGTTTAAGGGGTTTAAAGTTCTGTAGTAAGATGCACTGTGATCAATATCCTCAGCCTCTATGGCCACGGCTTCACCCCTTTCCCAGGTAGCCTGGAAACAGCTGGGCAGTGGAGGAGGGGTGGCCAAAGGTCATTCATTTTTTAATAATTAAGAATTGACATAGAGAAGTGTGTTTCTGGGGTGTTTTGAGATCATTGCCAAAACTCAGCCTAGAATTGTGTGAATACTTTGACTTCAGCCTGTCTGATATTCAGAACAGCCAGGTTCCTGGAGCCCAAGGCACTACCCAAATCTTGGCTGTTGGTTTTCACCTCTATGGTTTTTCCTCTCTCTTAGCCTCCAAATTTCCAGCGTGCTTTGTTCCAGCAAATGATCGGACCCTGTAAGCCCTGCAGTGATCCTAATCTATCTGTTGCTGAAAAAGGTATTCTTTCACCTCCGTGTTCTCTTTCTTCTAAGTGTATTTCCATCCTAGAATGGTTGGCTTCTCCATCATCTAGAATACTGACAGACCAGGTGCTACTCATTGGACGGTTAGAGCCGAGCTCAGTGTGGGCTGTGGGTGTGTCTGAGTGTGTGCAGGCCTCACTATCACCTGTAACCATCATTTACCTGTGCTCAGTGTTGCTGCCATTGTTTGGAGCCTTTGGGTTTGTCTGAGTCCTTCCCATTTCTCCAGCCTAGCCTTCAGAGAGACTCCAGCTGCTTCCCTGCCATATTGTAAGCATCCAGCTCTCAGAGTGACCCCAACCACTTCTTGCTCCCCATTTCTAGTGTCCAACCTTCATAAATTTAAAAAAAAAATCCAGCTGCTGTATGAAAATTAATGATACACTGCTTCCCAGGTGCTCATGCCAGCTCATGACTTTGGATACTAGCAGATGGTTTTGACAAATCAGGACAACTTTGTAGAGATAATGATAGTCCCCAATTAACCAAAACATAAAAAAAATTAGCCAAACAGCTCACCATCCTTGATGTATGGGATTAAAAAAAAAAAAAAACAGCTATGAGCTACCCCTCTATCCCATAAAAGGCAGGAGCGGGAAATATGTTAATTTTTTAAAGAAATGTCTCCTACTTGTAGCCACTGGACATAAGATCCTTCATCTTAGGCCTTCCTGACCCATAGTCAACTTCCCCAGGCACCGGCTTCCTTATAGGACATAGTCTAACAGACCTTCTCCATAGGCCTTAGGACCTTGGTCTTTACTGCTTTCTAAAAATCCTGTATTCCTGAACTCCACTGTGAGACATTTGAGCCTTCCTGGCCCCTGGGCCTGCTTGGCTCCTTGAATTCAGAAATCTCTCAACTGCCACCATATCTTAGTACCTGTTGCTAGCACCTGCCTCCCTCTTTCCCTTCTACCCACCTCCACACACCCCAGTGAGTTTTCCCAGAATACTTTGTGAAAGGAATCCCAAATACATGGAATCAGAAGCTATATGCCAGGGTAAGGACACTAGCAGAGAACTACCTAGTTCTGTGCTAGGTTACCCTAAAGCTTTCTAAACTCCTTTATCAAGTTCTAGTTCACCAGGCCTAGCCTAACTTATAATGGTTCTCTGTAGCCCAATCTAGTCAGCTTTGCCATGGTGCCAGATGAAAATGTGGTCTTCACTTTTCTACTTCTCCAGTTAAGGCTTGCCCCTATGAGCACTTGTTAAGTCAGGCCCCTTCCCCATTCTGCAGCCTGTTTCACTCTTTGACAGCCAATCAAGAAGCCTCCTAATTGAATGACAGGCTTTTGGTGCGCCATCATTTTTCTATGTAGTTGCTGAGTTCAGTAGAGTATCACCATTCCAATCAAGGGGTATTCCCATCACCCCCAAAATCAGAATAATTTAACCCAGCACATAATCTCCCCCTCCTTCTCAGAATGTCCAGTAGACACTCTCCTTTGCAAAGCTCTCCCTGAAATCTACCTTGCAGGTAGTCCTGAGAGGTAATGGTACTTAGAGCAGAGGAAAAGGGCAGGATCTGTGTACCGCCTGCACAGGCTCAATGTGGAACACAGCAGCTGACTGACTGATCCCACAGAATCATTTTCACACCCTACAAGTTCCTTTAGAGGATAATATGATTCAGGCTTAGCCCAAGGGTTGAGTTTGACCCAGAAGAGGTCCTGTCAAGGGAGGAGGCATTCTTGTGCTTTTCAACGTCCTCTTGCTAGTAAGGGTCCTGTACAGACTTGAGTCACAGAGTCAAGAGCCAGCTCTATTCAAGGAACTTCTGAAAACTGAACGACAGAGGTAGTTTCCCTCCAGGCAGCCCTAGGTTGATCTGGGAGCCCCAAGGTCACCCCCTCGGAGGATCTACCACCACCCCATCACCAAGATTGTCCCCTAAATATCCCAAGAGCCAACAAAATCAGAATGACCTCCAGGACTGGATGCCAATGTCTGGGGCATTCACCTGATTGTGGACATATACCGTGTCAGGTCACGATGTTAAAGTGCCTTCTCAATGAGTTTGCCCGCAGTATCCTTGTTCTGCTAGGGAGCAATTGCAGGAATTAATACCAGCTGTCCAATTTGTTTCTGCTAAGTTTCTATTAGTGAATCAATGATCAGGCTAGTTTTCAGTTGCCCATTTTATGTGGTAAATTATGTTTGGAAGTAACTGTCTCTGATATACTCCAGTGCCTTCTTCCATAGGTGGCCCTGCATTAAGGGTGTCCTATCTTTGGATGAAGACATGTAAGTGGCTCATTTTCCCAGTGGGCCTTGAGTACAAGGGATTTTCCTCAGCATATGAAGCCCTGACATCCTCTCCTCCATTTTCTCCTTCCTGTCAGTGTCAGGACTCCCCTGAAATCCCTCTTCCCAGTGCCATCAGTCCTTGTCCCTCCGAAGCTGTCCTTACATTTTCATCTCCATACCTCCACAAGTATCGTGTTTTCCCCATCATTGTTGTTGTTCCTTTAAATAAAATTAAAGGAGAGATGTCCATATGGCTGTAAAATAATTCATGAATGCCTCCATCCATGACCTTCAATGCATTTGTATTTACTGAACTCTGGAGCTCAGCAATAAAGGGCATAGAAAGGACATTTCTCTGAAAAACCTTCATAACTCTGGGTTGGTCACCCTAAAAAGTCACCTTCCTTCCTATCATAAATCCAGCATGAAGGTACCTAAGAAGACTCTATCTTTGAACCAAAACTAAGCTTGCCTTACATCTTTCAGCAACTTGGAACACTTGGATAAAGGGAAATCAAAGTATTTCTCCATTGTCTTCATATTTAACCCAAATGGGTCAAACTGCTACTTCAGAGAGGGGAAAAGCTGACTTAACACCTGGATTTGCCTGCTTTTAGAGGATAAATCTACATACAAAGCATGCTGCTTCAACAATGAAGATGAACCAGGATTTCAGGCAGTGTGCAAGAAAGGTGTGTCTCACCTGCCAAGCCTAACTGGCAAAACCCTGGAAGAAAAGGAGGGCACAGTTACTGAGACTGAGCTAATGGCACGTGATTCCATGGAAAGAAAGTTGTAATCGAGGTGGGAAAAGTTGATGTTTGCTTAGAAAGAAAACTGCAAATGTAACTTTTATTCATTCTTACCACCCTGAAATCATCGGTGTTATGGCCATAAGCAACAGTAACCATTGCCCAGGTTGAGGAGAAGTTTTCACATACTTTTTAACATTACCTCCCTAATGTAATCCATGGCCCAAAGCATCCCTGGATTCACAGTTTATATTCTGGACCCAAGTTCATACCTTGGAAGCTTCTCAATAATCATACTCATTGACTCATGCCCCCACCCAGAGTTTTCCCTGGGGACATCTGGATTTGGATCATTTTTAGCTCTCGCCAGGGATATTCCCCCTCTAAGCAGCTGGGGCTACCAAGGCATTGGAGCTTGAAAAAACTTTATTACAGAGTCAATAAGAGATCAAAGAAGGAATGGTTATAGGTCATCCTCACACACATCCCCCAGGATTCCCAGCTCCCTGTCCTACAGATTCATGGTGAGAATAGGTCATGTCCCATGGCTGTTGCAGGCCAATTCAGGCCCACAATGCCTGCCCCAGACCCTAGCTTTGCTTGTTTACCACTTCAGGCTCACCTCTTTGCAGTTGCTTCTGCAGCTCTTAACCCTGGTACATGCTCTTCTGTTCACTACCAGCACCACTCCCTTTTCCAGGAGATTTCTACAATATCTGCTTCTCTCAGGTACTCCTCATGGGGACCCCAGCTGCCATTGCCTGTGACCTACTTCTGCAGGCTTATGGTTTTTTCTTTTCACTGCCCTCTCACCAGAAGCTAGTACTTCTCTTTCTCATGGTTCTTCATCCTAGCAATGCCTATTTGGTGCTTGTCTTTAGGCATGCAACCTGAGTCCAAAGTATTATAGGAAGATGTGCCTTCCTGTTTCCCTTCCCTACTCCTCTGGTAAGGCCATGGGAAAGGGGAAAAGAGGAAGAAAACCTCAGTCACCTCCAGTTGGCTCTCACATATGCATGCTACACTATTAATCTTCCATGGCAAACCTGGAAGGCAGAGGAACCTCAGCAAATGGGTCTCCTTTATAGCTCAACTCCCATCTAAATGGAAATGCCAGAGTTGCTCCATCCCTACTTCTCCTCTCAGCAAAACTTGTTCCATCATAGAATCTCTTTATAATCCTGGTTCTAGAGCATATGTACCAAGTGTCAAAGACCCATCAGGCTGCTTAAAAGGCTTCAACTGGAAAAGCAAGGCAGAAAGGTACCTGGTTCCATATGAAGTGACTCCAATGATTCCCTTCTACCATCTTGTTCTCAAAATTAGCCAAGTTCTGATTACAAGCTTCTTTCTTCCAAGTTCATGTTATTATTCTTGTGCTGTTCATGCTGAACATGTAAAGTAAGATGTGCTTCTGAAATCTTGAGTCATAAAATCAACATTAAAACATAACTTAAATTTTACCTGTAGTGGATCAAAGACCTTAGAATAGCTTTCCACACTCACAGGCAATTGACTAAAAAAACAAGTCAAGCCTGCTTTCTTTCTCTCCCAGATACCTCCTATAGGACTGGGAGTTTCCCACCTTGGTCTTCCCTTCTCTGCCTCAATATGTCTTTGATGATGTGCTACACACTCAGGAAATGATGAGGATAGACCCAATGTGGATGAGGAAGGAGAGAAATCAGATTCCTCATTGTTCTCTCTAAATAAAACTCATACCTAAGCCATGGTAGCTTCCTAAGCTAGCTTTTAATTACTTCTCATCCAGGAACTTATTTGTTAGGGTACTCCCTATAGGAAGCCACTTTCCATTTCACCTGAGGCTCTCCTCCATCATACTAGAGAATTCACTGCTCTGAAAGGAATCAAAATGGCAAACCCCTTAGGCTCATTTGAGATTATTTGTCTCTATATTAAGAATTTCCAGGATCCTTCTTGCTGCTAATTATTTCCATGATCCACAGAAGTATTTTGGATCTCTTTGAGGGTTTGTCTTTTGCTGGCATCCTTGGAGAAGTCTAGCCCCCAACAATGAGACTTTGTTTCTCTACCACCACTGGTGGAAAGACAGATTATTTCTCAGTAATATCCATTCCCCAGTATCATATTAGTTGAAGTAATAGTACTTGCCACCCTGTTCCCCACAAAGCAGACTTCTCGGGCCCCTGGGTTTGAGGTTTCACCATTCCTCTTCCTTACTTCCATACTTGTTAAGTATAGAGGAGAATAACAGAGGGAACCATTATCTTTAATATAAAAGCAACGTTGCCCCCAATGGCACCTTTATCTGTCCTTGAGTTGGTACCCAGACTCCATGGTGTGGCATGATTAGCCAAAATGCAGTCCCTAGAGCCTCTGATGCAGGTAAGTCTTCATACAGCTACATTACCCGAGACACAGAGTAGACATCTATCCAGAATTCAAAGCACCAATGTATACTCCGTATAGGAAACTCCACAAGGGCCCTTCTCTGGACCCTCACACGAGCATCTTTGGTGTTCGGTTAACCATTTTCTCAACTGGAATTGTATATTTGGCATTATTATCAACAGTTTGCCTGCCCCAGGCTGGACAGAGTAGTGGTTTTTGACAATTATTAGACCAAGCTGTGGGCAAAAAGGCATGTAAAGCAGTATCCTCCTGTGCTAGAATTAGGCTGCCCCTACCAAGTTACAAACTCTTTCTGTCGAAGTGTCTGTTTAACTCAAAGCCTTTTCTAGGGAAACCACTAAGTATGAGAAATGGGGAGTTAGTACAGTTCTGCAAGTCACTGTGGGATTTTAAAGGACAAATGCAGCTGGATGCCAAACTTGGGTCAGTGTATCTTCTTGGCCAGCCCTTGCCCAGCAGAAATAAAGATTTCCTATCCCTGTTCCTATCCCAACCTACAGGTTGGAGGAGATGTGTTGGAAGACAGTGGCTCCTTCTGTGACAGGGTTCCTAAGTTTTGTTTTCATGTATGCCTTGGTATAGAAGAGGAAGTCCATCTGTTGCCATTGTTCTTGGGAGGACAGGAAGGTGGGAAGCACCTATCTTCTCGCAAAACTCACATTCTTCCTCTGAACAGAATAGAAGGAAATATTCAGTTGGGTTAGATTGCTACCAGTTGCTCATTGCCATACTTTCTCTCAATTCCCCTTCATTTAAAAGTCCATCAAATTTGGTACAGTTGAGGGTGTTACCAGTCCTCGTTACCCCAAAACAACCCCTGGATGCCATCCCATCCTTTGAGCCAAATTCCTCAGGCCACTGCCTTCGACCCGAGTAGGCAGCCCAGTACCACCTCAGAAATCATGGGGCCAACTCACAGCTGGAGAAGAGCCAGTCCTTACGATGAGCCATCCATCCATGAGTGCACCTCTTAATGTAACCTCACCCCAATTCCTTTTCCACCCTTCAGCTGTGTCAACAGCCCCCAGCAGCTGGAGCCTGGACAGTGGAACCCGAGAGGCCCTGCCATTGCTGTCTGCCCATGTGGGGAGCACCTTGGCCCCACCAGTGCCTCCTCGAAGCCTTCCCCATGGTAAGAAAACTGACAGAAGGTCCCCCAGATAGTCCCTGCTCTCAGGCCCCAGTAAGCCACAAGGATGGGAGCCACCCAGGCAAGCAGCTTCCTTCCAGGAAAAGAGATGGAGGGAAACAAAGAAGATGGGCTGTTTCACCTGGCAGACTATTAGACAAAGCCAGAACTCCAGCTGCTATAGTAAGAACTGCAGTGTGCCGTGGTAAGAACAACAGTGAAGGTAGATTTGCCAGGGCAGCAAGTGAGGCAGATGCCTCAACAACGAATGACTTTGGAGCTGAAGGCAACAGAAATTCTGGTTTCCCAAGGCCTGGTGTCTCTTATCAGCCTGTGTGATCTGGCCCAGAAACCTCAGCAGGGCAGGGGTGGAAAGCCCCCGCTGCTGCCGAAGTCTTCATGTCAGCTCTGAGACAACAGGACAACCTCGAGACACACCCTTCGTGAGGCAGGTCACTTCTGTCTCAGTGGACTGGGAAATGTTCACAGTCATACAATTCTTTTAAAAAAAAAAAAAGTAAAAGGAGGAAAAACCTCCCAGGCCTCATCCAGTCTCTCATGCTGGCCAGGATAGGTCCAGATTATATCCTGCGGTATACAGAGGGCCCCCTCCTTGTTGAGAGTGAATTTCTCTCTCATTTCAGGACACTATTCTCTCCACTTCGATGCTTTCCATCACCCCCTCGGCGATGCTCCTCCGGCCCTTCCTGCTCGGACGCTGCGCAAGGTAACCCCAGCACATCTCATCACAGCCTGGGTCTCAGAGGAGGTGATGGGGGGAGGAAGCTTGGGAGAGTGGAGGTAATTCAGTACTCACCATCAGAAAAGCTGCAGCCAAATCCCAGCTCAGCCTCTCACTCCCCATGTAACCTTGGGCCAGTCACTCATGTTCTGTGGTCATCTGAAAAATGAGGGCATTCAATTCAGTGAGCACCCATTATGTACGTACCAGGCACTATGCTGGACACTGTTGATATAAAACCAGAAATAAAGCTGCCCCTGCCTTCAAGGAGTGCACATTCTACCGTGCCCAGCTTAAGGGGAGAGGAGGAGGGAGAGAAAAAGCATGCAGGCACTGCCCTAAACACTTTACAAATATTATCTCATTTAATTCTCACATAAATCCTTCCTGCAAGGTAGGTGCTGTTATTATCCCCATTTTACAGATTACAGGAAATTGAGGCAAACAGAGGTTAAGTGATTTGTCCAGGGTTACACAGCTAGTAAGTATCCGAGACTACATTTGAACTCAGATTTTCATAACTCTAGGTCCATCGCTCTGTACACTGTGCCACCTCACTGATAAAGTCAAAATCGAACATGCACTAAGTGAATACAAAGTAGTTCTGGGGAGTGGGATGGGGTGGGAAGGGGCATTTATATAGCACCTCCTACTTGCCAGAAACTGTGTTAAGTATTTTACAAATATTATTTCATTTGATCCTCACAACTGCCCTTTAAGCTAAGTGCTATTATGATCATTTTGCAACTGAGGAAACTGAGGCAAACAGAGGTTAAATGACTTGCCTAGGGTCACAAAGCTAGTGAGCATGCAAGGCCAGATTTGAACTCAAAGTCTTCCTAACTCCAGGTCCAGCACTCCATCCATTGCACTACCTAGCTCCCTTCCTGCTGGAAGAATCTGGAAAAACCTTTGGTAGCACTTGAGCTCAGCCTTAAAGAGAACCAGAGATCTCAAGAAGCAGAGAAAGGAAAATGTTCCAGGCATGGAGGACCTCCTTTGCAAGGGCATGGAGACAGACAGTTATGTAAAAAGGGTGGAGCAGAGGCGGCCTTGTTCTCTGTTTTATCTTTTTTCCAACTACCTAAACAAGACTAGAGTCGGCTACCCAGCTACCCTGAGCAGGAATAGAGGTTTTAGCCTGGAAGTGCCAGGGAGAAAAGGGTTAGGTCTGGAACACTTCTTAGGTGTTAGAGCTTTCATTCAGTTACAAGGGAGACAGGGAGTCATGTGGCGGTCTGAAGTATCTTAGTGTCTAGACTGTCCTGGGAATCACTGGGCAGCCCCAAAAGGCCTCTGCCCCTCAAGAGTCAACCTCGAGCCATTCAGGATGGCCATGGACTTCCCTGGATGATCTCCAAGTCGTTGCAGCTGCCTCAGCACAACTGGAGACTGATTGGGGAATAGAGCCTTCCTCTGCCCAAGTCTCATAAAGACCATAAAGAGGAGTGTGCTCAGACTAGCCAAGCTTCCTGGGCCTAACCTCCCCTGACCCAGCTACGCTGATCTTCTCCTCAGAATACCCTGACTGACAGCTGTGAAGGACAAATTAGTGAAGGCTGCACGGACTGTGCGGATAGAGTCCGTGCGGTCCCTGAGAGGTCAGCTAGAAAGAGGGTGGATTTTATTGGTAGATTTCACATTCTGTAACTGGGGAGAGGTAGGCTGCTGGCGATTTCAGAGTCTAATAACTTTTAATGCCGGGTTTCCTCGGAGTGACAGCACGGTCTCGGTGTTCTGGCATTTAGCCCAGCATCTGCACATAGCAGGTTCTCAGTAAATGCTTGCCATTGTTGATGATGATGTCTTTAAACTTCATTAATAGAAGCCAGCTCCTCGCCTCGTCACCACGCACAGAATGGGTGAGTTGAGCCGCAGAATGGCCTGGTAAGAGGTTTTAATTGACCCCTTTTTTATTTCTAACAGTCTCCTCTCCACCCCATCCCTGCATCGCCCACAAGTCCCCAGTCTGGCCTGGATGGAAGCAACTCTACCCTGTCCGGCAGTGCCAGCAGCGGAGTGTCCTCCTTGAGCGAGAGTAACTTTGGGCACTCTTCAGAGGTCCCGCCCCGCACAGACACCACGGACTCGGTCCCTAGCCAGGCGTGGAACACTGATGAAGACTTAGAGACCCCCTACCTCCCTGTGCGGTACAGCCTCTCAGAGCCTGATGTCTTGGACTCAGTCAAACCCCAGCCGTGCCGAAGCCACTCTGCTCCGAGTGGAGTGGTCCCTCAGGACCCCATGGACCCTCCTCCGGCTTTACCCCCCAAGCCGTACCATTCGCGACACCCGCCCCTGGAGCATGAGGAGGGGATGATGATGATGGAAGAGGAAGACACCAAGCACCGGCCCCTGCATCGAAAGGTCTCTCTGCCGCCAGGAAGTATTAAGGAAGAGCAAGCCAGGGTTGCCTGGGAGCATGGCATCAGTGAGCAGTAGACAAGAGGGAGACTGTGAGCGAAGAAACTTGTGTTTTTAGAACTCCAGGTCTAACAAGCAAGTCACCCACAGGGGAACTAGAAAGGTGTGGGAATCAGAGGAGAGAGAAACCAATTCTTTACATTCTACTGCAGTGAACTCCCGTTTCGACTGTGTACAGAGATGGTGCCAGCATGCAATGTTGCTGCTTTTATTTTTAGTTTATTTTCTACTCTTCCATTTTTTATTGGAGCTTTCTTTTCCTTTTTCTCTCTGTGCAGTGGATGCTTTCTTCCTTCTGCAGTTACCAGCCCACACAAACATGTGTGGATGTAACCTTTAGCCGTAGAGACTTGCACAAACAGAAGCCACATTGGAGTATCTCAGTACCAGAAGGGGAGCAGAAACATCCTCTTCCATGAACTGGCCCCTCTGGTTTTGGAAACGCACACTAGGAGTTGCACTAGGGACCTTTTTCTTTGCTGTATAGATGCAAAAGCTCGTGGTTACATTCAGGGATTGTGTAGACTGCACACGGCAAACTTAAGAGGTGGTCTGTGGACAGGAGAAAAGGGGCTACTATGAAAAAAAAAATCAGCTCTTCAAGGAACGTTTGCATCTGTGGCTTCCTGAGCCTAACGTACACTGGCCCAGCTATGCTGATCTGACTTCGACATCTTAGCCATACTGCTGGCCTTCCACAGGGGCTGCCGAAGGCCCCGTGGTTCCTACTCACCTCCCTGCTGCCTCCTCTAGTTTTCTCTACATTAGTTTGAGCTCTGAACATTTGCTCCTTTTTAATGCCCCTAACCCACCTCCCTCATCCTAGGAGGCAGGGCCTCTCCCCAATTTGGCTGCAGGGCCAGCAACGATTGGGTAGCTCCCAAGGTCCCAACCCCATCCCCTGGAGCCTTCTTCCAGCTCAGTTTTGGGCAGTTGTCAACACCATTGCTTAGAGTCTAGTTATCAGAGAGTAGGGTTGTGTAATACACCAAGTAAGAAAGATTTCTCATACCACCTTCCTCAGAGGAGAGAGCCCAGCTTCTGCCCGTAGCCCTTGGGTAGGTTCTTTCCTGGGCACAGAATGCTGTTGTTCTGATTGGGCTGACATCAACCAGTCCTTCCACCACTGGTAAGTCCTACTGGTGTAAGAGAGGGGCCGTTAGGTCTCAGCAGCTCGGAAATCCTTTGATCTTTCAGAAGCGATTAGAATGTAGTCCATTCTCCAGAGTCAGGGATTTTCAACACTACCTCTGTTGTAAAAGAGACTGGGAGCCCAGCAGAGCTGCTGGAGCAGGCTTAAGGAAACTCAGGCTCAGTTGGCTACTGGGTGGGATGGATTAGGAGGTACATTTTTTTGGTCTTCTTTAGAAACTTATCCCCATGCAAATGAAATTACCTTCTTCATTAATGGTGTCCCCAGGACTCGAGGGGGCAGGGGGAGTAGGGTGAGGTGGTATCTTATTACTAAGGATCCCAAGCCACACAACACTGTTGCCTTCTGCCGCTGGTGTATGGTGGTGTTTCAACACAGTGTTCAGCAAAGGGTTGCCAGGGGTAAGCCCCAAGAACAGTTTTCCATGGCTTCACCAGCCTAAGAAAGGATGTCAGAGCTCTCTAAAGCCCTAGTGGACAACAGTGTCTTTAGATGAAACTCTAATCAGGTCAGGATACTGGTTTTCCTCTTGGTTTAATATTTGGGGCAATGGGGTGGATGGGTATAACAGTATTTTATCAGGGTGCTTCTAAGTTACTTTTAAAAAAATAACGATGTCTATGAACAGAACTTTTTTTTAAATGTTTCTTTCATTTGCTGGAGTTAACATTAGTGTGAGTCAAAGTGTTTGCTTATTGCAAAGCCTCCTGTGTCATTGGAGCTCAAATCTATTTCCCACCCTGTTTTTCCCTCACCAGACTTTTCTGGACTCTGACCGGGTGGTCTGCCAGCATTTTTGGTGCCTGGTTTTTAAACCCTGATCCCTTCCCCTTTCAAAGCAAAAAAGACAGTTGATGTAACTTGTCTTTTTGCAAATGAGCACCCATATTCATAGCAAGAATGCCATTCCCCTCTGACCACCTCCCTTCCATGAACAGGGAAAGGGATTTATAAAATCTATTTTCACTGGTGGCTGCTGTGCAGATATTTTGCACAAGTTAGGGAATTTCTAAAAGGATACCCTTATAGTGTCATTAATCAACAGGGCTGAGTAAGGAGCAGAAAAAAGGTTTCTTCTCATTGTATTAGTGACTGAAAATGGAGGTCAGCCCTACTTCTCAGGGAATTCGAGGTGGAGACAAAGGTTGCTGTGACCGAGCCTTTGTTTCATTGGCTGACTGGGGTTCCTGAGACAGTGTTCACCAGGGCTTGGTTAATTGCAGAGTTGAATGTTCACTTTGATCCTTGGGTGGAGGAAAACTGACTGGTCTCAGAGGAGCTCTGAATCTGAAGCCAGTCACCAAAGGCATGAGTCTCTCCTGGTTCTTCTGCCTGCTCCATGTATTTAAAGAGGGTATAATGGGTCTGGTTAGTCTTGCTCTGTGTAGTATAATCAGATGATTGATTAATTGTTTTCCTTTCCCTATATTTCCTGGATATAACTGGGTAAAAAGGACCCATCCCCAAACCACTTCCTGTCAGCAAACCAGCCAAGTTTGAGGGGGAGGGAAAGCTATGGAAAACAGAGGTGTGAGATTCCTTTGAAAAGATTATATGATCCCTTGATTTTCATTTTGTCAGGCATCTTTGTATATATTTCATTTGAATGCTATGTATTTGTACAGGAATTTGAGCAAAAAATGTATAGATTGTGATGTCTCACAGGTACTCTACCCTGTAAATGTGTTTTTAATCTCTGGCATTCTGTGCTTATTTAAAATGAGAAAACCTCTAACCACTTCTTTTGTGTAGTCATGTTTTAAAAAAAAAAACTATAAAAAAAAAATACCCCTATCTTAACTATACAGGAAAGCGAAGTTAAAAGG